AAAGGGGGCTATATAGGGGTTATTAAGGGGGATACTAGGAGTTTAGACTATGGCTCACATAAGCATCTTTTCTGATATTTCCCCTTGTTCCCTACTAAGAACCAGCAAGATAACTCCCCAGAAGAGATGGTGGCCCTTTGCTACGAAAGTAAAAGCGACCAAGAAAGTGCTGTCCCCGATACGCCGATACTTCCTCTGCATAGTTGCCCTAAACACGATAGTCCCTCTTAGTAGATAGAATATGGCTTCGGGTATATTATAGTAAGATCCCCATATACCCCATATTCTATCTACTTAAGGGGGACTACACACAGGAATCGAAGTTGGACTTGGCCCCCACTAGTCCGTAAAAGCTGGTTTGATACTGATTCAAAATAGTTAAACTGGGCTCTTGTAGAAGAAAATTTTACATTTTTATGGATACCTGGGCCCAATATCAATAAAAACAGATCGTTTTTCATGGTATCTCAACAAGACTCCAGTAAATAAGTATGCAAAGCCCTTAAGATTATCCCTCTTAGGGGCTGTTACCGGGGGGCGGCAGCACCCAAATCCTGCGCAGCGACTCTCTGTATTCTCCCTTTTACACAAACTCTGCTGAGTAGTATTTGGGGTTACTATGGTACCCAAGATAGAGTAAGAGTATATCCTCCTTGTGGGGTATAGTAATTTATATAAGGAATATTATCTTACGGGGTTCAACCCCCCCAAAAAAAACAATACTCTGCTGAGGAATGGGCCGAGAAGACCACATGGGAGCGGGACGAGGCCGCCATCACCCACCTCGCCCAAGAGGCGATGCCTGAGGAGCTTCACGGTGTAGGGTGTAGGGTTCAGGGATGTAGGCTTTGTGGACTGTTTGAAGCCTAGGATTTAGGGCTTGGGGTCTACCCAAAACCTCCTAAACCCAACCCTAAACCCAAAACCCAAACCCTAAAGCCCAGGACTAAACGCTTTAGTGTACTTTGTGGCAGGGCTCATGTCTGCAGGTGTGCCAGCGTTATACAGCAGTCGCTTCGAAAAAAGCTGGTTGGTTTAGGAGCTAGGGGTTAGGATTCAGGTCTAAGAGTTCAGGTTTAGGGTAGGCTACGGTTTAGGTATAGTGTTTAGTTGGTTAGTGCTTGGTGTAAGGTTTAGGGGGTAGGCTTCAGGGTTCATAGGCAGGCTTACCACCCCTGTACTACCCCCAGGCTCGCGCTCAATTAGAACTGACTAGGCCTAGGTATCCATCCTAAACAAGTCTAATTAAGAAAATTCAGAAAACGTAGTTTTGGGTGGGGCCGGGGTGTCAGGGAAAAATGCTAGTTTGTATCACGCAGCACGTCTTACTGCCTTAAAACATGATCCCATAACTCTAAATCCTAAACCGCAGACCTTGACCGTGTATGTAACATGGCTAAGAATGTCATCCCTTTAGTTAAGCGCGTATATAACAATCCCAATTTACGCTTCATTTTTCATTATCTCGTGCGTGGGATTCTCACTACACCTCGAACCATTATATCTCCGAATAAGCTTTTAAAAGGAACCCAAAGTCTTCATTGCATTTTCAATGTTCTTGTTCCTTTGGTTCTCCGTTACGCCTTGCACGTCAGTGCATCCTATGTATCGCTTCAGCCGCTTTTGAAAGGTTGAGGATGATTTAGGCTCCTAAATTCTAAGCCCTTTAAAGGCACCCAGGTAATCTCTTAAAGAGACCTAAGGTTAGACCTATGAGAGTTGAGCCCCTAAACCCTAAACCGTAGACCCTAAACCCTAATCCCTGACCTTAAACCACAAGGAGCCCCTGGTGGTTGAAATGCTGGTTGCCGATATGAACCGCCAGACGCTGGGTTACGTGTAAGGCTTAGTTTAAGGCTTGGATTTTAGGATTTGGGGATTTTGCATTTGGTGTGTGTGGGGGTCTGGGGGCTAGACCCAGAGGGTTCCTCGTTTTGGGGAGTGGGCTAAGTGGCTTTGGTTTTCGAGATTGTCTAGAGTCCAAGGCCGTCAAAGCATTCGGGCTTAGGATTTAGGGCAATATGGGGAATCTGAAATCGCATTTCATGTTGAAATTGTCCCTAATTTTCGCAGTTGTATTGGGTGACAGTTGTTTTAAGATATTGTAGCATGTAAGCACAAGACACAAGAGGATGGCAACAAATTGCTGGATTCGACCCGAGGCCCTAAACTTTGTTTAGGGACCTACTCCTGCATGACTTAAATTAGATCCGTACCTGTAAGTGGGCAACCTCAATTTTGTGCAACAGGAACCAAACGCAAATCAAAAGGTTAAGCATGGAAAGGCCATAGTTGCCCACAGACTCCAGATCTACTTATGCAAGCCCCCACACCCTAAACTCCAAATCCAACCCAAATTCCTAGGCCCTGAAGCTCAAACTGAGTAGATATCCTTCGACCCACACTAAGCCCCAACCCCTATATCCTGAACCCTGAACCGTGAACACCAGACCCTGTATCCTAAATCCTAAACCCCTTAACCTTTAACAGCTAACAGCAACCCGGGACAAAGCAGCCTGTGATGAGGAACGCTGAAGGGGAGATGCCGGTGCCTGGCTTTCGGGTTTAGGCTGGTTTTGGGTTGTTACGGATTTTAGGGTTGAGGGTTAAAGGTTTGCGGTTCAGGGTGTAGGGGGCTTGGGATTTAGGATTGTCAAGGGTTTTTGACATGTCTTGCCACACGATGGTTTTTTGGTTTACGTTATAGTTATAGTCCATAAACATAAGCCAGGGAACTCGTAATACGTGTATAGATGGGGTTCCAAAAATTATGGGTCCCTATATACTCACAGATATCTTAAGATTATAATCCTTATCGTGGGGACCCCCAAAAGGAGACCTCTAGATTTTGGAAGGCCCCATGCATGTATGTATGCATGCATGCCACGTGGAATAGTGCAGTGCAATGTAATGGAATGTAACGCAAGGTAGTGCAATGTATGGAGTCCTTGAGAAGGGCAATATAAGAATAGATCCCACCAGCGGCCCGCATGCTCCACTCCCTGTTTCCTACCGAACCTCGATAAGTTGATATTCCCGAACTTCAAACCGGGCTTAGGTGTCCCCTGATAGCCGACGCAGCGCGGTTGCGACCATGATTCATTCTCTGCTGCTGTGCCATTCTAGAAACGTTTTTCAATATGGTTTATGGTGTGGGGTCTTTCTGCATAGAAGCGTGGTCTGGCGCATTTTCCCTATTAGTCCATACGTCGGCCACGTAGGCCTACCTAGCCTGAAGAGAAATTACCCTTGTGGTATTTCACCCTCTGTTTCATCTCGATATGTTGTAGCACCAACAACCCTAAGCCCTAAAACCTTGAGAGCTTTGAGGTTTGGGCCGAGGGTCGAAGTTGAAGGTCTGTTTGGGTTGAGTGTTTTCGGTAATGTTGGTTTAGGGTTTAGGGGTTTAAGGGTTTAGGGTTTAGGGGTGTAGGGTTCAGGGTTGCAAGGACATAGAATTGACTATCATCGAGCTATCATGTCTACTATGTGATGTTGTCAAAATGCTGCGCAAGCACGACCCTAGTGCGACCAGTGCTGTGCCATGTATGGCTGCTCAAGCGCAATGAGGAGCAAACGGGATTGCTTCTTGAAGGCGTCCCTGCAGACTAACTTTCCTAAGACAACACTGTCCGTGTTCAGGGTTGTGCACAGACGACTATGTTTTTTGAAGGCAGTTGTGCATCTGTCTAAGCCTATTCCTGTTCCCGAGCTCCCTCGAGACTGTCACTACAACTGGCCGCTCGTCTAAAAGGCAATGCATGAGTATGTATCTAGATTCATGCACATGGGTGTGTGTCCTGTCTAGGCTCGCAAGACTTCCTCTCCCCCGAACCCGAAAACCTCACAATAGTATCCCAAGCCCCAAGCTTCAAAGCTCGATCTCGAAAACCTTGACATGCTATCCGAGTCCCTACACCTCAAACTTTGAGCCGTAAACCCTAAACCCTAAACCCCAAACCCTATACCCCAAACCCTAAACCCTAAGCCCTAAACCCTAAACCCTATACCCCAAACCCTGAACGCTAAACCCTATACCCTAAGCCCCAAACCCTACACCCTAAACCCTTACCCTAAACCCCAAACCCTAACCCCTATGCCCTAAGACCTATCCTAACCTTCACAAGGCTCAAAGGCATGACGGATCTGCAGCGCAAGTGCGTGAAGTCGAAGTTCTCCCAATGAAACGGCTCCGCGCGAGGTGAGTAGTATTATGGTACCCACTAGGGTTTCGGGGTTTAGGGGTTTAGGGTTTAGAATTTAGGGGTTTAGGGTTTCGGGGTGTAGGGTTGAGGGGTTTAGGGTTTAGGGGTTTAGGGTTTAGGGTTATTTGGGGATACTAT